GATCCATGCTGGTCGCAAACGCACTATGTTGGTTTTGTAATGACGCGGCTCAAATGTTTTTTGAAAGCCTTCAAGGCGGAAAATTAACTCGTAAAATCAAACTTTCGTACTCCCTACACTGCAAACAGACCTATACACTGCTTCTTTCAATAAAATACTCTTTTGTATATGGTCCTGATAAAGGCATGTGGGATGTTTTTGTCGACAACTTCTCAAACCGCCATGTTTGTACATGTATGTAATTACTGTATTTCAGAACATCTAATTGTGTATTGTAAAGTAAAAATAATACCAGTGAAAACTTATTTACAACTGTACTTTAAAGCAGGATGAATCATGAATCATGCTGAATTTCATGAAATTTACAAGTAAAATACTGCGAATTGACCAAAGAAAGTAATTTACATATAGCAAACGGCACTTTTAATCCGCGTAAATTAGAAAACAGAGGTCAAAATATGCAAAAAGCCCTTACAGCGTCAGTCACGCAGTAGAAATAAGGTAATAAATACTGCAAAATCGGTAATCAATCGCACATAGCATGTACATTGAATCTTTTTACTTTTCTTAAAATCTTAGTACATTTTTTTCCAGTTTGATTTGCTTGAAATATTTTGGCTCATCTGGAGACATACAGCTTTAAAGAGATCATTACAGCAATTTATAACAGATGTGCTGGGTAAATGAAGGAGACTTAATAATAATACTTCATTTTGTGAGTAGAATGTGAAGAGTCTTAATGTTGAGAATTACTAAAATCATGACAGTATGGGAATGCAAAGGATTACCATAGCACGCACGTTTATATGAAGAGTTGGAAATGTATCAAATTATATCAATCTCCCTGGAAATTAGCAAACAATAACTAAAACAAAAGAAAAAGAAAAGAAAAAAGTAAAAATGTTGGCCGATGTCAAAACGATTATATGATTTTATTATTTTATTGTGTGATTATGGTTTTCTGTTACAGTTATCAGTTGACTCCTAGTATATAGCTGTTTTGGCTTCTTTTGCGTTCTGGAAATTAGTATTGTGATAGTGATTTAGTATTTTGTATTGAAGGCAAAAGACCACTTTGTTTACTTTTTATAACCTTAATGATAAAATATTCCACATTCTGCGCTATTTTCTTCAGATGATTTGCATTTCACATGTTACAATATTATAAAACACATGTTTGCTCATACAACAGGCTGAACAATTGATACGTTTCTAGGGCTTAATGTGCCTCACATCATACATTTCTAAATGGTAAACTTCACCCCCAGTCTGATTAATTTGAAACATCAAGAATTACTAAATGCGTTGAACTTAAAGAAAGGTATTATATTAGTGTGTGATATGTATAGCATTTTAATACTAAAGGCTTTTTTTGCGTAATAGCATTTTAACACTAAATGGTTTTTGCGTAATAGCATTTAAACACTAAATGCTTTTTGCGTAATAGCATTTTAACACTAAATGCTTATTTTGCGTAATAGCATTTAACATAAAACGGTTTTTGCGTAACTGTTTACTGTATATTCTGTATGATCATCTCGTGGTTTTCGTTATAACTAAAAATATATAAAAATTGATATAAAGTGAAGATGTTAATGTAATTAAGTTTTTTTTATATTAAACAACACGAGGTAAGTATGCACACTATCTATAGTTTAGATAAGTAATAAGCGTGACATGTACATTGTCTATTATGTACATTGCCTATTTACATTCATATACTAATATGCAAGTTTGCTGTTATGCATATTACATAATTATTCCTTGGTTTATGCGGAATTTATTATAATTTGACTGTGTAGGAAGCTTAAAGCTTATGGACACACTCGCAAACCAACCAGTACAGAGGAATAAATGTTATGTTTCTTGCTCAAGGAAACGACGACTTGCCCCCAATGGGACTTGAACCTACGCGGATAGCGATCCTAAGATTTACGCGTTTACCAACCAGCCATCTCGCAACTTATAGTACAATATCACAATAATTATTCTTTAAGAATAGCATTCTGTTGATTAAGATTTTATACTTAATTTGCTTTTTACAGTTGAAAATGAGAATAGCTCTATTTATTTCATAATGCTAAATAGATAATATACATGTACAATTAAATGTCGCTTTAGAAATTAAAGTGCATTAAATTTAGCCATTGAATATAAAATGTGAAAATGTAGAAATTCAACAATCATATTCACCTTAATGAAATAAATGTAACACCTTTAAGTTTATTTTCTCAATTGTTTGATACTATTATAAACCATATTAATGTTTGCACTTCCATTTAAAAACAAGGAAGAAGCCATTTTTTGCCAAAAATGATCAATATTGTGCAATCATGGCGATTCGAGGATTTGTCTTTGGTACAGAGTATAGGTCATATGGCGACGTTTCAGCTTTACTGGTGCAGGAAGACATAAGGTGCCCTTCTGTGCATAAATAAAGGACTATGTAGCTTTATACCATACGCTTATCTAGACACCGAACAACACTTCATTTACTTTTACAATTTCAAATTTCTTAAAAAAACAACATATTTTGGCGGAAGTCAATGACGCATTTTTGGCGGGAAATCTAGACTTCCGGTCTAGTGTTAGCAGAATAAAATTGAACTGTCTGCGGCGTTCTATTCACCTTGTCGATTCTTATTGATATTTCCCTGCATCTGTAGTGAAGCATCCACAGGAATGAATATATAAATGTATATAAATGAATACCTAGCATTGATTTTCTCGTTTCATACTGCTCATGGCACATTAACTCGGTACACAGCTGTTTTACTAATCCACAGGCAGCTTGTGCAATATGTATCTAAAACGTATACATGTATAGCAGCTATGACGTATTGAAATAAACATATGTTGTTTGCGACTAATGTTGTTCACTTTCCTATTTCTGTTGTTTACTTTACCTTTCTTGCATAATTTGAATCTAATCAAATAACGGAGGTAAAGGTCAACACTTGTTTATGTCTGTAACAACTTCTCAACATGAACCGCTTGTGGCAGTGGTGGGGAATGTATGATCACCTTAAAATATATGATTTTCATCTAAATATACTCATGCGCGGGGTCTACATTATGCGAAAGACACAGTATCGTTTAATACATGTATTATAATAAAATATGATGTAGTTGCAAAGTTATGATGCTTATATTTGGGCCAGACCTTAAAATCGATTAGTCTATAATTGGCACATTTTCCATAAGTATGTAAAATGTTGATAAAAGCATTAGGATACTCTCGTGAAATAAATCTGCAAAACAAAATTTTGATATATAGTTCTAAAGTGATTTAGTATGAACATATATATGATGAATATTGATATTTGGTTCTAGAACACTTCATATTTTCTACTCTATATTGATATGTGATATCGGATAATATACATGTATCTAACAACTACTTATAATTATTTCGTGGTTTGTTTTCACGTATGTTACTAAATACTATCAACATAATTATTACTTGTTTTACAGACCATCCATTAAAGACCATCCACAACTTTACAGCCACAAACAAATATAATTATTAAAATCAAAACCCCTGTGCATACTCATACATAATAAAATGTAGATTGATTCCGAAGAAAATTTCTTCGGTATATTGTATTTCAACTCAAGTAAGTGCAAATATGTATTAAATCAACAACATATTGAATATACATAGTTTCTTTTTAATGAATTATATTTTCAACCAGCTATGATCTTATGTTCATTAGGAACATATAATTAAGACTGAAAGCAGAGTATAGATGTTGTTGTTTTGTGTACGTGTATTGGAAAATGCAAAATATCATATAAATATATCAGCTGTTTTCTCAGGTGACTAACACGAACGGAATGTTTATTAAGTATTTTCTTTTCCTCAGGTATACAACAGTAATTATGATTTTAAGATAATTAAGATGATATGTATATCAACGATCTATGCTGGTAAAGATCGAAATTGTAATATCTTAGGGTACTAAGTGCACGTGCTTGCTCGGGTTTCACGTGATTTGATACTTTAATGAGGTAATACCATCTATTCGTAAATCGTGTATCTTCGTAATATTTCGTATGTAATATCTTATCAAGAAACAGATTTTTGATGTTCCAGTTTATATTATATAAACGTCCTTCATGAATCACGGTAAATGACGAAACCTGCCGAATATTCACGAAACAATGATGGATGCTATCTTTAAAGTTTTTTTTAGTTAATGTTATTACATACAATATATAGATGATGTATGATTTTATGTTACACCCATCTATACAAACATTGAGCGGATTTTATCGCTTTATACAATTATCAAACTTAAGTTAAAATCACAGCAATGTGTATTTAAAAGACAAAGAATTACTTTAATGTTATGTAGAGTGTTTAATACGCGTTTCACATTTTATCCCTATTTCTCAATAAATGAAAATAAATAGAAAAATCTTGAAATTCAGCCGGAGAAGTAACATCCGTATAAATTTGCACTTGTCATATGATAAAATTTACTTTGAATTGCATCCTAACTCAGTGATCACTCGAGCTTTCTTTTCTTTCAAATATACAAGCATGCACCTTACGTAAAAATTGCAATTGATTACCATTCTTAACAACAGTAGATTAATCATAAAGAAATCAAGAAAGATTTCCGTGATACAACACTGAATCTATCTTAACTAGTTGGAAAATAAAAATTGCCAAATTACCAGCTAAAATCATCTGTAATCAGTGCTAATATTAGCATTGTCTTTCTTTCTGAGATAAAATTAATGAGACAAACACTGGCAGGAAGACAATTACTAGCTAGTTCACTGATTTACCATCTCTTATATCAGAGGAAAAATACGTTAACTTCAGAAATACCGACACATCGGGTGGGTGAGAATCCTTTCTCGGGAACGACAGACATTGATTTTCCACTGGAATCTTCTGAGAAAAACTCAGCGTTGCGTCTGATAATTAACGTCTAGTCTGAAAAGCATGTACGAAAGAATAAAGAACTATAATATTACAATTTCATTACCTTCTCGTGTATCCATTTTATACATCTATGAAAATCCAATAGAAATAACACATTTGATATATCACACTTAAGTAACCATATTTAATTCTTGTATCATTGTTGTTCGGAAAGTGTAACCGGTGTCACAGTGAAGATTGCACAACATGCATTTCCGTTACATTTTCTTCAGGTACACCACAATGGATCTCGTTGCCATAGCAACCAAAATACGGAATGCCGCATAACGTTGAAAACTTATATTTTGCGCAATTATTATCTTGAAACATTATAAAGTATGTGTTTCCACTTACGCACGTACAATATTATGAATTGATCTTACGGTTGTAACCGCTAGCAAGCAGATATCGACTTCCAGAGACGCTGAGCTGTCAGCGGGAAAAAGTCTCTGCTTTCTTTTAAATTATGCAAATAAGTTTCCAAAAATAAACTGAAGAACTGTTAGTAATTAAAAATAAATAAACATTTGACTTTGTGAAGGAATATTATACAACATTTCAGATGGCATTAAGTACTGTTGAATTCCATTATTTCAAAATATCTTTTTTGTTCTGGAACTTCTAATCTATTCGTATTATAACAGTTATCATAAATCTACTCTAATTTTTCTTTTAACTCCATTGTCGTCTGCTGTAAAAGTTAAAAATTCTAAACCTGCTGAATTTGTATAATGGATAAAAAAACAACAAAGAACAACCTGCCGACAGAAGGTGCATGTGTAGGTTGTCCTGGGTCTATTTTGGCGGCACAGAGAAGCCGTTATCGGTTAAAGTATAAGCACGTGACTAATATCAATTTAACTACTTCATTTCGTCTTTGTTATGTTGCAAGAAACATAAAAGGTTTGGACCGACGGAGACCAATTAAATTATAAATGTATGTACACACAATTTATATTATGTACTATATATCACAAGACATTCACATTATAACTGATGAATTCACGAGCGTTTTAATGCTAAAAGTGCTCGTAACGGTCTATTCCATCTCTTTAAGCGTGTTTTAAACAGTGAAAATGTGGTAAAGTATTCGAAACATCTTGTTTTAATTCCATTCATGTGTTTACAAAATATTTTTCAGAATCATATTATTGCCAGAACAATTAAGATTCTCCAGCTTGTTTTTAATTTATCCAACCAATCCATCGTTTTATAAGTTGTAATACTAAATGCTATGAAAATAATGGTTTAAAATTAATTGTGCATAACATACATGTTTTACATCATAACAAAGTTTATAAACCTGTGAAATATGTTTAAAATTATATGTGTTACGCACCATGAAACGAGATCAATCATAAAATTTACTATTTTCTCACGTGACACATGATATCGTGCCTGGTACCCGGCAGGATTTTGCCAGTTATGGTTTAGTGTTAAGAATGCTGGTAATCGAAATAAAACTTGGTTTCTTTTGGATACCGTGTAATAATAATAAGATGATAATAATAATAATAAAAATGACGATGACGACGACGACGACAACAACAACAACAGCAACAACAAAAATATCTTTATTTAAAGAAGGTAACACACAATGAATTTCATAGGAAGAAAAAAGAATAAATATATTTTTTCTATTGTTCATCGAATTGTTATAAACATTTATAGACATGTTAAATGCACATCATAAACGTCACAGTTAACCGGTTTATACCGGTGATTCATATAACATCGACATAAAATAACTATTTTGATGTTAATACTTGGAAAAGAGCATAGGAATGGGCTTCTTTTTATGTTAGATACAAATAATAAATATCTTAATATGCAGAATAAGAAATGAATGAACTTTTATCACTCTTCAAATGGAAATAGTATAATTATATGTTGTACAATTACAATGAAAATTACACATATTACACTCGTATGTTCTTAAAACACTAATTTGTAATAAAGCGTGCAAATATTATACATGTAAATGTAGTTGTAAATTATGTACAGCATATGTGAACTTTTGAATGGCGCTCAAGTCAAAAAGTTCTTAGTTTTTACTTTTTTTTTTTATAAATTGCAATAATCCATAAAGCGCAGGAAATATTACATGACACGAACTAACTAAAAGACTTCATATGAAGTTGTTTCTTTTATGTCATATCAAATATTTTTGAGGGTTGACTTTTCTGGTGAAATTTTAGCAAGATTAATAATTTATTCGTGCACATTGGCATATTATAAAAAATAAAGGTACGTTTCGTTTTACTGGCTGCGCGGCTGTAAAGTTGCCTTGTTATTTAAGACTGACCCAAACAGTATATGATGACAGTGAATAATTTTACGAAGTAATTGATGAAACATTGAATGTTGCAGAAGCTTCAACTTTGTCATATCTACATGTTTCGCAATTTCATGACAAAAAGGGACATGGTGTAAATCAGCCACTACACAAAACAGTTAGTTTGAACCTCCTCCACTTTATGTATCGTCCGAATTTTATTTACATTTGAATTAAGCAAACTCTTCATGAAAGTAATTTAAATATAAGTATAAAAAATAATGGAAAAACGAAGACAAAGATTTGTTCATTACATATTGAGTTGATTTCTGTGTGGAAGAAATACTTATTGTCCATCTAGTTCCGGGAAACCCGAATAATAAAAAATAGTCAGTGTACCGAAGACCAAAGATAGTACGAACTTCTAGCAATATTAAATTAACCCTTTACTTCATATAGACGTGTTTTGACGGCTTCCCCCCTTTTTTGAGGCCTTAAACAGTGAAAAATTAACCTATTTAGGCCCAAAACATTGTTTTTCGTTTGGGAAATGTTGCTAAAAAAAGTGATCACTTTTTCGGCGCCGCCCCCTATAGAAAAGGTACATCAGGGGGTTGCCAGAAGGGGAATGTGCCCTGTAACACCGCACTTTGGGGTCAAACGCACTATGGGGTCGGACCCCAAAGTGCGTTACGCACTTTGGGGTCCAATTTCGACCCCAAAGTGCGTTAAACAGGTACATATACATTTTTTAACATCAGGCAAACGACCGCACTTTGGGGTCAGAGAAAATTTATGTTCATTATGTTTTAAATAATATAGTGTAGTCAAAACCAATGGTAAACAAAAATCAAGGTATTAAATAGACACAAAACATGTTCCCTGAATCAATAGGGATTTAAATGGTCTTGATACGTAAGTGAAGAACTTTCACTAAATAAATCACCAAATAAAGAATTTGTATCAATTACATTTGTATTAAGCTTAAAATATGTTTTTCTCGAATTTTCCATTTATTTTAAAAGAATGTACACCTTTCATTAACTCCATTGTTTTTAGCTAAATGCATCAATTTCCCGTTTGTTATTTACACTTTTTACAGAAATATGATAGTCTTAGTATAGACAAAGGTATAAATTCTGGGTAATCTTAGTAAGACATTTCAGTAAAAAATTTGCCTGATAATATGTTGAAAAAGCCATTTATTTAGCTAAATATGACACATAAGAAACTTGACGGCTTTAAGTAGTAGTCCGTACAGGCAGTACTAAAATATCAACTATTTAAGTAGTCGCACATTAAGAGCCGAGCTTCAGAATAATGTAAAATTCTCACTGGGGTATAGAGGGGAGTGTGGGATATCGATCCCCCCCCCCACGAGGGTTAAAAATAACTTTTTAAGGCCCATTATGCTTTAATTTGTTTTTCTTAAAAGCTTTTTCATTTTGATGTACTGTAATATTATCAAAAAATACACATTGGTCAATAGCCTGAACCATCCTTTTCATCTGTTGCTTTTTGACAATGATGAGTACAGTTATAGTGAATAAGTATTTTATATGGAAATACTACATTGTTTTGACTACTTTTATGAAAAGTAATTTCACATTTATCGCTATTTTATTCAGGTAACCAGCATCTTACATTTCTCTGATACCATTATTTTAACATTATAAAATTCATGTTTGAAATATAAATATACTCTATTTATAATATAAATCCGTGGTCGTACACATTTTTTTTTTTAGTTTTGAATACATACTTTTTTTTAGTTTTGCATACATATTCTTTTTTAGTTTTGCATACATATTCTTTTTAGTTTTGCATACATATTTTATTTTAGTTTTGCATACATATTTTATTTGAGTTTTTGTACATATCTTATTTTTTGTTTTGTTTTTTACTTTTTTCGTACATATTTTTACATGACGCCATTTGCAAAGTAGAGGTTTGGATAATTACGCCATTTGTAAAACACCATTTTCAAACCCTTCGCCATCTGTAAATTACAGTACCCTATTGCAAACGCCATTTGCAAATACCAACATTTTCATTTTTGGAGGTATCAAAAAGATAACAACACTTAATAGTATATATATACATGTATATACATGTATATATATTTTTTCTAAATCAGTGGAATATAAGGACCTATTTAGATCTTTTATTGTGCATTATTGTAATACACCAGTCATTTGTAACCACTTCCCTTGACCCAGGGGGAGTGCGGGTTAAAAAAGAATCGTGTTTTGATGTCTGCACTGTTCCGGGGCAAAGGCAAGAACGTTATTATCTGAATATCCCTCGCAGGGCGAAGATTTTACCAGTGGTCGGCTTGGTTTAAAGTCAATGCCCCCCCTTCTCAGGGGGTGGGGTTGAGTGGTGAGTCATGGAATAATAACTGATCACCAATCAACAGCCCTTTCCAAATAGACACTACTATAATAGTATATAATAATAAAAAAAACAATAATTATATAAAATACATATGATTTAAAAAATGGGCCGAAAAAGGTCGGCCGAAACCAGACTTGCGCGGCCAAAAACGACTGGACCGATTCCAAAAATGGGCCGAAATGTGACCAAACCACTGTGCTAGTTTTATACTCAACTATGGGCTGTTATGAGATGTGAAGGCTGTTTTGTTGGCTAAAATATGTACAAAAAATATGTACGAAAAACTACAATAAAATGTGAATGCAAAACTCAAAAAAAAATATGTATGCAAAACTTTAATAAAATATGTATGCAAAACTTAAATGCAAATGTCACTTTTATGCCACCGTAATTTTGTTAAATTAACACAATTTTTGGATATTTCAAGTGGTAAAATTAATGAAACTTTTATAACTTAAGCATCATCAAAGTATTGACCGCCATCTTGAACTCCACCTCAAATATTTCAATGTCGCAGATCGAAAATAAGTCAGTACTCAGTATTTAAGCAGAACTCGGATTACACCTTTAGACCTCTGGAACCCAAAGAGCGTTGATATGTAGCATATTAACGCACTTTGGGGTCAATTTCTCGATTTTGACCCCAAAGTGCGTTTGACCCCAAAGTGCGGTGCGAAGTTTAACGCACTTTGGGGTCGGACCCCAAAGTGCGTTTGACCCCAAAGTGCGGTGTTACAGTGCCCCCCTTCTGTTTAGGGGTTTAAAGGGGGCGGTAGTCCCCCTCATCGCCAAGAAAAAAATGGACTTGTAAGAGGCTAAAAATAACCCCAGGTCGAT